GACGAAGGAGAGTTCCGCTTTGATCAGAATCCGGAGTTGTTTCAGTGCATATTTTTCTAGCTGTAAGATTAATGTTAAGCTACGACGACCTCCTGATTATGTTTTCACTCCACTTTTTTCACTTTTCTGCATCTCAACAATGCAGAACAACGACGTGAAACCTACGGAAAGAAGAAGAGTCGAAGAGTCCTGTATTGGTGAGATATCTATAGGTATCTTTTGGTCCGGTCGCCGGCCGACTCTAACCCCAGCCCCAAAAGCTGTCGCGGCCGCCTGCCGGGAGGACCCTGTCGCCCTGTAACCGGCCGGTGAATGTGTTGAATATATAGAAATGTGTACGTGGTAGTTCATTTCATTTCATTCGTACCACTCCATCGTGCACGTTTGTATAACATACAGAAAGTTTTATCTTTGTGATATCCCTTATTACAGAGGATCCCTCTCGGCTATCTTCAAACGGAAAGCTTCGATATATAAATATTAGCTACTTTCGTGCTTGTGTGAAAAGTCTGTTATCTCCTTCTTGTATCGGGATGCAGTCGCATAACACAGTGAGGCCTCAGCGCAAGCTAACGGAGGAGTTAGTATCCTGCTTGAGTGGTAATAGCTGGCTCAATGATGAAGTCATTTATGCGTTTATCAATATTGTTGCGAATGGGACCAGGTTCACACCGCTAGACCCATGCCTCATACAAACGCAGGACATGTTTCGCATTCGCGGATATCCGATAACGGATGGGGAATTGCTATTTCCACTGAATATGTACGGCAATCACTGGTCTCTTGCATGGTTGCGGCCTGCACTTAAAAGTATTGTATTGTATGATTCATTGGGTCATCTTTATTCGTACTCGCCAAGGCTACTTCCACTGCAAGAACGGGAAAAGCTAGAAAGAACATGGCGTAAGATCACAGACAGATGCCTTGATGTTATTTTGATAGAATCCAACGGTGTTCACGTGCAAGAAGATAGTTACAATTGTGGTGTATTCGTGTGCTTGTATGCAGAGCGCCTTTGTAAAGAAGAACGGACAGTACAAGAGGTTGCCACACCCAAGTTTCTGGATGATTACCGACAGTACATCAGAAATCGCATAACAACTTCCGATATGCTCTGCAGAACAGGCGAACTGGATCATAATGGAGATCTTCTCTGCTATATACCAGGGAAGGAGGCAGGTCAAGCTAGAGAGCGTACGTGTGCAATGCCTGTCCCAAACGTGTCATTGGAACCCACACATTGTCAAGAAGTTGATGTAAAAAAGAAAGCTGCAAAAGAATATAAGGAT